TGTGTGTGTGTGTGTGTGTGTGTGTGTGTGTGTGTGTGTGTGTGTGTGTGTGTGTGTGTGTTATGAATAGCCATCTTGTTATGCGTGTTCTATGTGTGGAGTGTCTTATAAGCCTAAGAGAAGTACATGACACTTAAATGCAATCAATCAGTCATATTAACTGTTGTAATTTGTGTACATTTAAGTGTAACCACCCTTACAGAAAACAACAACATAGTTTTCAGATTGTTACATGTTGGAAATCAACCATGTGATCACATAAACATGTTGAAAATGTTCCCACAAAAATGTGCTTCAAATCTCAATTTAACATGAGTGTCAAAACAGATTTTTCATGTAAAATGTTTAAACTAGAATTTAGTTAAATTCTACTATGGTGATTGTTTTCAACTGAAAACTTGGTGTAAGTTTTTTTTTATGAATTTAGTCATTTTACCTCTTATTTAATGTTTGACTGACAGCTGAGAAATGCACCTACAGTTTTCTTTTGATTGTCTCAGGAGATACTTTACATTTTCCCCCTTAGAATAAATATCTGTAAACACTGCACTCACATAATCTGAATAAATGAAATGAGTTAGGACATTTGTTCCTGAGCTCTGAAGCACATGGAAGATTAGATCAGAGACCTCTCTGCAGCCCACCACAGCAAACTGGATCAATATGTGTTGGTTTGGTTTGTTGTGAGATTTATTCAGATTGGCTGGCTCGGATATGTTTTCATCCGGACCATTTGACTCATTTCTGGCAGCTCTTCCCCAGGAACAGAGGATGTCAGCAGGGAAATCCGTCATCTATAATGTAGGCTGTGACAGCAGGGAGTTTCCCTCAGACTCGGGGCGGATCAGAAACGCCCAGATCCGCTGCTTTTGGGCTCATTTGGACGTGCCAGTGGGGCTAATGAATATAAAACAAGTGTCGCATTGTGAGAAATGAGCACGTCTGCACACACACTGACACACACACACACACACCACGCCCCCTCCTGTCGGGAACACCCTGGCTGTGGATCTGTGCCTTCAGACGGCGCTGAGGCGCACCGAGAGGCGCGCACACGGACCGTCATCCCCGGACTGATCCCCGGACGGACTCCGCAGCTCGTCCCGCTCCCCCTCCACCACGCACCCAGCCGAAGCCCTCCCTCTTCCCCCAGGTAAGCCTCCTCTCTGCGGGTGTTTTCTCACACACCGCTCGCAGTTCCTGATGTTTTATTTCAGCCCTTTGGGGGGTGCAGAGGCGGAAGGGAGGGGTGGGTGGTGGTGGACTGGCTGTCATCACGACCTCTGAGGACATTTCTGGGACCAGACACCCCACTTCCCATCCAAAAGTTAGGGCATCTGGTCAGGTGCAATGCAGCAAAAAGAAAAAAAAGCCTTTTTTTCTTCCTCCTCTGGTTGAGCTCTGGAGAAAAAGCTCATGTTTAACTTCTTCAGCTGAAAGCTGACACCGAGGGCAGGAAGTGTGTAGTTTGATCAAATCACGAGCGACCAACGACCTCTTTCATGCTCCTATAACAGGTTGTTGTGTGCTGACCTGGTTGGTGGATCCAGCAGGAAATCCCAGAGATTCTCAGGGATGTTTCCAGTGTTTGTCTGCAGGCTTTTATCACACAGTGACCATGGCTCTCAGGCTGAAACAGGCTGACCTCATTCTACCTCAGACCTGGATTTTATTTTCTTTCTTTTTAGCTTGATTAGATGCAGATGTGAGATGTTATTAGGAGTAAGAATCCTTGCTAATCTTTAGTCCCATTAAAATACAGCACTAATTAGTCTGTTTCTGATATGCTGCATGGGTAATTTGTGAATGTCAGAGCCACAGTCCAGGATGATTGATCCTCATTTGCACAAAAAAAAAAAAAAAAAAAAAAAAAAAACGGTCTGTTTAATGTCCGAGGAAATGTTTGTTTCATTTGGTGCTTCTTTTAGAACAAAACAACTCCTTCACACATTTATACTCTCCTTGTTGTTTGTTCGGATATTCTTTTATTAGTTGCCAACCTTTCCTTATAAGCTGGCCATTTCAAAGACACTAGTGCACCTCCATACCATCAGAGAGGCAGGCTTTTGGACTGTGCACTATTAGTTCCAAAATAAAAAAAGTTAATATTTTGATTCTTCAGTTCATTTTAGACCAGAGAAAACTGCTTTTCTGGGTGGTGTTCACATTTGAATTCTTTTTTTGATTGCTAGAGCTTTTATGTGGATGGTTTACACTCACCGGCCACTTTATTAGGTACACCTGTCCAACTGCTCGTTAACACTTAATTTCTAATCAGCCAATCACATGGCGGCAACTCAGTGCATTTAGGCATGTAGACATGGTCAAGACAATCTCCTGCAGTTCAAACCGAGCATCAGTATGGGGAAGAAAGGTGATTTGAGTGCCTTTGAYCGTGGCATGGTTGTTGGTGCCAGAAGGGCTGGTCTGAGTATTTCAGAAACTGCTGATCTACTGGGATTTTCARGCACAACCATCTCTAGGGTTTACAGAGAATGGTCCGAAAAAGAAAAAACATCCAGTGAGCGGCAGTCCTATGGGCGGAAATGCCTTGTTGATGCCAGAGGTCAGAGGAGAATGGGCAGACTGGTTCGAGCTGATAGAAAGGCAACAGTGACTCAAATAACCACCCGTTACAACCAAGGTAGGCAGAAGAGCATCTCTGAACGCACAACATGTCGAACTTTGAGGCAGATGGGCTTCAGCAGCAGAAGACCACACCGGGTGCCACTCCTTTCAGCTAAGAACAGGAAACTGAGGCTACAATTTGCACAAGCTCATCGAAATTGGACAAGAGAAGATTGGAAAAACGTTGCCTGGTCTGATGAGTCTCGATTTCTGCTGCGACATTCGGATGGTAGGGTCAGAATTTGGTGTCAACAACATGAAAGCATGGATCCATCCTGCCTTGTATCAACAGTTCAGGCTGGTGGTGGTGGTGTCATGGTGTGGGGAATCTTTTCTTGGCACTCTTTGGGCCCCTTGGTACCAATTGAGCATCGTTGCAACGCCACAGCCTACCTGAGTATTGTTGCTGACCATGTCCATCCCTTTATGACCACAATGTACCCAACATCTGATGGCTACTTTCAGCAGGATAATGCGCCATGTCATAAAGCTGGAATCATCTCAGACTGGTTTCTTGAACATGACAATGAGTTCACTGTACTCAAATGGCCTCCACAGTCACCAGATCTCAATCCAATAGAGCATCTTTGGGATGTGGTGGAACGGGAGATTTGCATCATGGATGTGCAGCTGAAAAATCTGCGGCAACTGTGTGATGCCATCATGTCAATATGGACCAAAATCTCTGAGGAATGCTTCCAGCACCTTGTTGAATCTATTGACGAATTGAGGCAGTTCTGAAGGCAAAAGGGGGTCCAACCCGTTACTAGCGTGGTGTACCTAATAAAGTTGCCGGTGAGTACATGATACTGCATGTGAAAGTGCTCCTGAGCCCATGTGGTGATGTCCAGAACAGAATCAGATTTGTTTTTAAAGCAGTACTGTCTGATACTGACTCCAGTCTGGTCCTTGAGCACAGACGTTTCACCAGATACGTTCTGATGATATAATGAATGAAGGGAAATTCAAAGACTTACAAAGTTCCCATTGAGGAATATTATTCTGAAACTGCTCCACTYTTTTTAGAGTTTGTCMCAGACTGGTGAACCTCTGCTCATCTTCCAGTTTCTCTAATTGCTGGTTTTAACTAAAGTGTTGCAAAAAGCTCTTCAAGCTTCTTATTTGCATCACTTCCTTTTGATGCCTCTGGCTCCACTTTCTTGAGATGTGTTGCTGCCTCAAACTTACCTTTTTTCATAAAAATGTATGTTCTAAATTTAAGCATTTGTTAATATTTTTCATTGTGAATAAAACATGAGTTGATGAAATTTGCAAATGGTTTTGTTTTTTACATTTTACATGCCACCGTTTTTTTGCGGGGGGAATTGAGATTGCGTTTTTATACACAAATCTGTGTAAAAATGCATGCTGCAGTGAATTCCCTGGTCATCAATCCGCACCGCTGCCGTGAAGATATCCTGTTATAGTGGAAACTGTCACAGTGGCACTCTTCTAAATGGATTCATTTGGCTTCTATGCCGTATCTGCTGAGGCTGTTTTATCACGGTCTCAAGAATGGCTCCCTAATGATAACCGAGCCTTTACGCAGCAATCAGGCTGCAGGCAAGAGAGGGGAACAAATGGGCGAACAAAGTAGAAGAGAAGCAGGCGAATGCAGGGATTCCCTGATTCTCTCTCCACGCGGGCAGGCAGGCTCATTCAGCAGAGCAGGAAGAAACCCCGGGGAGTGCAGTCACACAGCATTAGGAGGGCTGCGTCTCCTGGATGAGACGAGGGGGAATAGAGCTGCTTGTGCGTGCACGAGTGAGCATGCATGTGCACTGACATGGACATGTCAGTGCACATGCATGCTCACTGACATGGACATGTGTTATTACTGTGGGAGACATTTCAGGCTGCAACTCCCCGTGTCATACCTGTACCGAGTCTTAAAAATAACTTGAATTATGGAGCTGCATGTTAAGTCAGAAGTGGTTTTTGGTTTCGTCATTGAAATTAATTTTTGGTAGTTTGGTAATTATAAAAAATAACCAACTTCATTTGAATAAAAACATTTATCATCAGAGAACATAATGTAGACGTTGAGTCAATGAGCCTTGAATTAACGAATTATCTTCTGTTTTTATCTAAGTCGTTATTTTGTGAACCAGATATGATTTGTGAGATTCATTATTTATCACCCACCATGAAAATCAGGCCGTCATAAAAATTACTGTTTTTGCATATATTTCCAATTGTTTGTTTTATCAAAATYTCTCATAAACCACACATTTTAAAGGGGCAATATTGTGTTTCTCAGGCATTCATTTAAATACTAGACCATAATAAAGTATCTGTGTCACCTTTAGTTGTTATTAAAATGCTGTTTTAATGTTTAAATAGAAAATAAACTTATCTTCTCATCACTTCCTCTTCTAAA